TGGTCTCTCCTGACCCACCTCTCCCCAGCCCACACCTTGAGCCTTCCTCCTGCCAGTCCCTACGCAGGACCTCCTCCGCTGCCAGCCCTTCCTTCATCCACGCCCTCCTACCGTTCTTCACCATGTAAACAAGAGTCTTCCTCCTGGAAAGCCTTCCCTGCGCCCCAGGGGTGACTTAGAAACCCCTCCTCTGCGCTCTCCACACTCCCCCGTCCCCTGTCTGTAGGATTCAACTCTGGGCTGGGACTGTCTTACATTCCCTGTCTCTTCCCAGCACCTGCCACAAATGGGCGGGCAGGAAGTGTATGCTAAATGGCTGCATAAACAGGGTGTTCCTTAAACAAAGTTCCTTTTTAACATCCGCAAAGGCCTTCAGTCTTAAGTGAGTGCAGTGTGCCCAGGTGCTCCCTCCCTCTAACCAGCCACGCCCCTCCCTCTCGCCCCCAAAGCCCATCCTTCTTCCAGGTGCAGCTCAAATCCCAACTTGCCTACGTAGCTTCTTAGTGACCCCAGCCCTCATTTCTTTCTTCCAATATGTACCTATAGATGATTTGATTGCATGCTTTCTCATTACTATTATTGTTAGTGTATTATATATTACTAAAGGCCCTGTGCATGAAAATCGTGCACTGGGCGGGGGGCGGGGAGGGGGGCGGGCAGGGTTCTCTCAGCTCAGCCTGCACCCTCCCGCAGTCCGGGAGCCCTTGGGGGATGTCCGACTGCCGTGGAGGCAGGAGAGGCTCCTGCCACCGCCACTGCACTCGCCAGCCATGAGCCCGGCTTCTGGCTGAGCGGCGTCCCCTGGTGGTAAGTCCATGTCATAGCGACCGGTCGTTCTGCTGTTAGGTCGATTTGCATATTAGCCTTTTATTATATAGGATTGTTATGAATACATTGACTTATTACACCTCATTCATTCATTCATCACACAACAGAACACCCACTTTAGAAGGGGAGGCTGACCTCAGAGGTGCTGTGAGAGCTGCAGGTGCAAAGTGTGGCCAAGGGCCCAAGGAGAGGCAGGTGGCAGCCCTGCTGGGAGCCAAGGAGGCCTCAGAGAGGACAGGGGTGTCAGCAAGAGGAGACGAGAAGGAGGGAGAGGGCACCCCAGACAGAGGGGCCTGGCAGGGTTGGAGGATTTGGGGAACTGCGGGTTGTGTGCAGGGCTGGGGCCAGGACCTGTGGGAGTGGGAGGTCCAGATGCCACAATGAGGAGGAAGGACCCTGGCCTGAAGGTACGGAGGGACCATGAGTTTGATTTTACACAAGACTGCAGTGTTGCTCTTGATGCAGAACAGTGTGGTGCTGAGAGCAGACCCTGACCGCCTTCTCCCTTCCTCTCCTCCTCTCCCCCAACACCACAGATTCCTCACTTCACTGGGAACAAATTGAGATGTTTCCTTCTGGCCTCTTTTTAATGTATTTACCTACATATTTATGTATGTCTATGCATTACATAGGATTTTTTTTTAACAAAGCAACTCACCTCTGTATTTTTTTTTAAAAAAAGAATGTGTCTTGGGAAGGGTGTAATTCTTTGAATGGTATTCCAGCTCGCACAGTCATTTGTGGAACTACATCTCTGTGGGCACTTAGGCCATCACAAAAGTGCTGCAGTGTAACTCCTCAGATATGTGTGAGTCCCTCTGTGGGTAGAGGAATGTCTTTATTTATTGATTTTAGACAGTGAGGAAGTGAGAGAGAGAAACATTGTTTTGTTGTTCTACTTATTTATGCATTCACGGGTTGATTGTTGCTTGTGCCCTGACCCGGGATTGAACCCGCAACCTTGGCGTATCAGGAGTGTGCTCGCACCAACTGACCAGGACCCAGGTTTACGTTTGAGAAAGGCAGGCTGGCCATGGTGGGGAGACTGGGTCCGAGGAGGAGAGCTTCATGGAAGACATGGAAGCCAAGCAGGTTGCAGGGGCTTGAGGAGGAAGTGGGAAGGGAGAGAGTGAGAGGGATCTGGGACCCAGGGAGGGTTTTCCTGTTTTACTTGTTAGGAAGGAGGCAGTTTTGAACAGAGATGGGAATGTTTCTATGGTAACGGTAAACAATCAATGTAGGGGGTGCAGTTGTCTTTTTCTTTATGGAACTGTCTTACTCTTTCCTGATGACACATGAATACTGTAAAAATTTAAACACTACAGATCCATTCAAAGTTTCCCTCCTGCTCTCATTTCTCTTGGGTAATCATTGCTAATAGACTTATATTCTCTCTACTTTTTAAAGAAAGGCCCACTTTTTGTTTGATTGTTGTTTTTTGGTGGTTTAAAACAACCGTTTTCTTCTCTGACAGTGCTGGGGGTGATAAGTGGCAGTGTGGGCAAAGGTCAAGGTGTGGTGGGGCCTCCCTCCCTCCAGAGGCTGAGGGGCGAACCCGGCTCCTTGCTCTTCCAGCGTCGAGAGCTGCATTCACGGCACTCCTTGGCTCGTGGCCCCTTCCTCCAGGGCCAACGCCAGGAGCACAGCATCACGCTTCAGCTCTGCATATTTACTTTTAACCAGGAGGGGGCGGTAGACATAGCATATACTCCTACAATCTGACTTTTTAACTTGCTATATCAGGGATGATTTTTTCATACACAGAAATTCCCAGTGTTAAGCCACTGATAACATTCAGACTGTTTCCCCTGTTTATTATTATTATTATTAAATATATTTTCATTGATTTCAGAGAGGAAGGGAGAGAGAGATAGAAACATCAGTGATGAGAGAGAATCACTGATTGTCTGCCTTCTGCACACCCCCCTACTGGAGATGGAGCCCGCAACCCAGGCATGTGCCCTTGACCGGAATCGAACCTGGGACCTTTCCGTCCATAGGCCGACACTCTATCCACTGAGCCAAACCAGCTAGGGCTCCAGTGTTTATTACTGTAAACAGCGCCTTAATGAGTGTTCTTGCTACATTATCTTCTTGAGCTAAGTTCCGAAAGAGGAATTGCTAGATCAAAGGGACATCTTTGCTAGCTGGTGACTGGTGGCCGCCCAGAAAGGTCCCGATAATGTTCATTCTTAGCTACGGGGTATGAGAGGCCCCGTGCGTGCCAGCCCTGCCAGCCTGGGCGTGTCCCTTAAACTGGACGCTGTGTCCCTGAGGCCAGGGCCCCTGTACACTCCGACTTCCTTTCTGTTTCCATCGTGCCTCGAATGCCCGATGGCTAGTGAACAACTTCTCATGATTCTTCCCCGCAGTGACCTTCCTGATGCCAAGTCGAGAGCCCTTGACAACATTGGCAGGGTTTTTGCCAGAGTTGGGAAATTCCAGCAAGCCATCGACACGTGAGTGACCAAGGACTGCCCCCTCCCCACCTCGGGGCCAGGACCTCCCACCCTCACACCAGACTCCCAGCCTGGGGCCAGGATGCCAGGAAAGGAGGCATCAGAAGACCTGAGATTGGCCCCTGCCTCTGCTAGGTGGCCTCAGGAAAGCCACTTTGTAAACGCAGGGGCTCATCCATTAAATTAATGAATAGACTAGAATCAGCATTTTCTCAGAACGTCCCAGTGACAAGAATCACCTCGAGTATTTTTTAGGGGTGTGAATTAAAGGTTTGGTTTTGGAGCTCAGGGATCTGTTTGTTTGTTTTTTAAAAAAATTTAATTAAAACTTTATAAAGTTTTATTTTTATATATATATATATATATATATATATATATATATATATATATATTGATTTCAGAGAGGAAGGGAGAGGGAGAGAAACATCAATGATGAGAGAGAATCATTGATCGGCTGCCTCCTGCACGCCCCCTACTGGGGATCAAGCCCATAACCCGGACACCAGCATCGAACCCAGGACCCTTCAGTCTACAGGCCAATGCTCTATCCACTGAGCCACACCAGCGAGGGCAGGGATCTGTTTTTAATGAGCACTCCACCTGATCCTTATCATGGGCCAGTTGAGTCCGGCACCTCTTCTGACACTATTCTGTAATCACGGGAACAGAGTCTGAACTCTCCAGGTGGCCCAACTGCTGGACTTCTGATGTCCACCTTGGGGGCTAGTGACTTACACCAGTGGGGTGACTCAGCCCCAGGGAAACTTAGGGGGAGGGCCTGCCCTGGAGACCAGCCTGGGCTGGGTGAGCCCACTCACTTAGTGCAGAGAGAAATGTCCTAGTCGCTTGATTGAAATAGACATGTTCACCTCTGCTACACGTCATTTGGCTTCCTGAATGGCCCTGGTGTCTATGTGCCAAAAGACAGAGGAGTATAAGAGTTCACTTACATATTTTTATAATAAAAAGTGTTATAGTAAGTATATGGTTATTATTAAAATATTAATTTTGAAAATACGGAAAAGTAGAAGAAAAATTATTCAGTCCCACCACCCAAAGACAAGTACTAATTCTAATCCTACTCTTTATTTTATTTTATTGATTTGAGAGAGAGAGAGAGAGAGAGAGAGAGAGGGAGAGAAACATCGATTTGTTGTTCCACTTATTTATGCAGTCATTGGTTGATTCTTGTATGTGCCCTGAACAGGGATCGAATCCACAAACTTGGCTTATTGGAACAACGCGCTAACCAACTGAGCTACCCGGCTAGGGCTGCTAATCCTCCTAACCTTTTTTATTTATTTTGTTTGTGTTTTCATTCCATTCTTTTTTTTCTGTGTTGAATTTTTTCTTATATGTACTTAAGAATATTATTTTTTAAAAAAAACATTTGTTATTGATCTCAGAGGAAGGAAGAGAGAGAGAGAGAGAGAGAGAGAAAATCATTGATCAGCTGCCTCCTGCACACCTCACACTGGGGACTGAGCCCACAACCCTGGCATGTGCCCTGACTGGGAATTGAACCGAGACCTCTTGATTCATAGGTCCACACTCAACCACGCCAGCCGGACAAGAATATTCTTAAACATTATTTTTATGTTATTTCAAATGATATTTTGTAAGCATTATTTGCAACTGTTGGATCAAATTTGATCCCATAGATGTGTCAAAATAGTGTTCGAAGCTTTAAAAAATGCTACTGCTTATTAGTACCACTCCTTACGGAAAAGAGCGGGCGGGGGGAGGGCAGTTCTCCTCCTGTGGCCAAGGGCGGGGCTAGAGTGGAAGGAGCTGACCTGGTTCTTCCTCCCCAGGTGGGAGGAGAAGATCCCTCTGGCGAAAACCACTCTGGAGAAGACCTGGTTGTTCCATGAGATTGGCCGCTGCTACTTGGAGCTGGACCAGGCCGCGCAGGCCCAGAGTTACGGCGAGAAGTCCCAGCAGTGCGCTGAGGAAGAGGGGGACATCGAGTGGCAGCTGAACGCTAGTGTCCTGGTGGCACAGGCACAAGGTATGGGCTCGGAGAGGACACCCTACCTTCCCCGGCACTCAGGCCGAGCTGCACGCCTGGGCTGGGAGTCCTGGGGGCCAAACCTCACATCCCAGTGTGCCCCTGCCCAGATGAATTCTGACTCTGAGAGTGGGGACCAACCCCTCCCTTTCGACCAGGGTTAGTGCCTACTGTGGGCTAAGTTCAGTTAGGGCTTAGGCGTCTTGATAGCTGCCCTGCCCTGGAGCTCAGCTGCAGACCAGCACAGCACCGTGTCCTCATCAAAACAGCGCCACCTGGTGTTGCTTGGCGCTCTTTACATCTGCATTCTTGCATGGAATCACCGTGCAAGCCAGTGATGTAGGCATCATTGTCCTCACTTTACAGATGGGGAAACTGAGGCACTGTTTCAGCAGATTGCGCCAGGTCACACGAGGGAACTTTTTGGAGCAATGGAAACGTTTTAAAACTGGGTTGTGGTGATCATTGCACAACTCTATAAATTTACTACAAATCATTGAACTGTATATTTAGACATGGGTGCATTTGATGATACGTGAATGACATCTCAGTGAAATTGTTTTTAAAAAACCAGCAAGGGGAAGGGGCATGGAGAAACAGATGAAACAAGACTGGCAATATTTTGATAATTGTTGACGCTGAGTGATGCGTGATGGGGGTTCGTTATATTCCTCCTTTTACCCTGGTGTACATTTGAAATCCTATATAATAAAAGGCTAATATGCAAATTGACCGAACAGTAGAACGACCGGTCGCTATGACGCGCACTGACCACCAGGGGGCAGGCGCTCAATGCAGGAGCTGCCCCCTGGCGGTCAGTGCACTCCCCCAGGGGGAGCACCACTCAGCCAGAAGCCCTAAGCCACTGGGCCTCTAGTATTTCATAATATAATATTAAAAAAGAAATGGCTCCAGGTCACAAGCTAACAGGCCATGGAGCTGGGACTAGAACCCAGTTCTGTCTGACTCCACAGCTCGGGCTTTGCGAAGCTGTGCTAAGCTGCTCCTGCCCCAGGTACATAGATGACCTCGGCGAGGGAGGACATGGGCCAGTGCTATGGCCAGGGGGGCATAATCATTCACGTATTCATGCTGCAAAAACATACTTGGTGCCTTCTCTGTGCACAGTAGGGAGCAAAACCATTAACAATTCCCTGCCCTCCTGTCTGAGGAGGTTAACTTTTAAGCAGACACTTGAAGGATGAGAGGCACCAGCTGCCTCAAGAGCTGAGGACAGAGCAGTTCACCAAAGGAGCAGCGTGTAGGAAGTGGGCAGGAGCTGCGCTGGTCCTATAAGCCGGAGGAGACCCATGTACGTGGGAGCTCCCGGGGCCAGGGAGGCTTGGAGGAAGGAGGCTGATGAGCGGCCAGATCCACAGGGCCTCATGGGCCTTGTTACAAATCATAGATTCTTTCCTAAAAGCATAGAGAAAAGCACTGAAAGCTTTAAATCTAAATCGCAGACACGATTGCTGTGGCTCTTCCTAGAGCTATTTCCTGTTCTCAGGAGGGCCTTGTGTAAGCTGAAGGGGCGGCGGGACGTACCCCTCAGGCTGGACGTCATCCTGAGTCCACTCTTGAGGACTTGTTGGGCCCCGAGGGTCTCTGCAGAACCAGGCCACTCACTGCTGGTCTCAGTTTCCCCAAAGGCAGCACAGCCTAGGGGGCAGGGCTCGGGCAGGAGCCACTCTGTGCCCAGTTCCGTCCTCTGTAAATAGGGATAATTATGATATCCACCTGTAGGGCTGGCGTAAAGAATAAAGTAATACGTAAGCATGCAAGCACTGAGAACACTCAGTAAATACTAATCTCTTCCTTCCTGCCCTCTCATTAACTTCTCGTAAGTGTCTCTAACAGTGATGAGAAAGTTGCAGGCCTTGGAAAAACCTATTTATGGCTCAACACAAATGTAGGTATACATCTCCATCCTTTTTTAAAAATTTTTTAAAAAATTGATTGTAGAGAGCAAGGGAGAGGGAGAAAGAGATAGAAACATCAATGATGAGAGAGAATCATTGATCGGCTGCCTCCTGCACGTCCCCTACTAGAGATCAAGCCCACAACCTGGGCATGTGCCCTGACCGGGATTGAACTATGACCTCTTGGTTCATAGGTCAAGGCTCAACCACTGTGCCACACTGGCCGGGATCAGCAAAGTTCTTTACAAAATGGAGTGAATATTTTAAAATATAGATTTCCTTTTTGGAACCATCAGACGATGGGACAGGATGGCGTTGTTGGCCCCTGTACTGGAGACACATGATTCGGGCACAGGCCCCCTTCCCCCTTCCTTCCCCTTCGAATGGCCTGAGACCCATGGCTCAGGTTCCCAGGTCCTGTCCTTAGGAGGGGAGATGGGCCCAGAAAGCCAGGGGAAGGGTGGCCCCGGGCAGCTCTGGGGCTGCCTCCAGCTCACACAAGCTTCCAACTCCCCGGGGAGGCGCCAGCCAGGCCGGGGCGCCTGCGGGAGCCCCGCCTCCTGCAGCACCAATGTCACCACCCACCTGTGCTTGCCTCCCCTGTGCTCCAGTGAAGCTGAGAAACTTCGAGTCGGCCGTGAACAACTTCGAGAAGGCCCTGGAGAGAGCGAAGCTGGTCCACAACAACGAGGCGCAGCACGCCATCATCAGCGTGAGCCTCTCCCCACCGGGCGGGCAGGCACCTGGGCAGGGGTGGGCGGGCCTCAGCCCCGCAGCCCTCCCCCGGCCAGTCCGAAAGCACTGGGACCACCAACTGCAGGGCACAGTCTGGGTGGGGCGCTGCCTTCAAACATCTGCCACCGCCATCAGTTTCTATAGCAACCCATACACACAGTTTGTTTGAAATAAACAAAAAGTGGAAAGGCAGGTTTTACAAAACATATCTACCTTTACTCTGGGTGCTGATATTCCTTATCCTATTTTATTTTTCATTTCCTTTTTGTTGTTGTTGATCCTCACCCGAGGATATTTTCCCATTGATTTTTTGAGAGAGTGGAAGGGAGGGGGAGAGACAAAGAGAGAAACATCGATGTGAGAGACACACATTGATCAGCTGCCTCCCACATGGGCTCTGACCAGGGCTGAGCGTGGAGCCCACAACCGAGGGACGTGCCTTTGACCAGAATCGAACCTGGGACCCTTCAGTCCGAGGGCCGATGCTCTATCCACTGAGCCAAACCGGCCAGGGCTTATTTTCCATTTTCTTTTATTTAATGCTAGTGGAGACCTAAACTGGTTTTAGAACAAAACCCCTTCCTCCTCCAGGAGACCACAAGAAATAGTGTGATTGCCTCACTCGCTTGCCTCCACCTGCGCTGCTCCACAAGGCCGCCGCCGGCCACCTGCGGCCACTTAAGTGAATAGGACTGGAAAGTTACATTTCAAATTCAGTTTCTCAGTCACACTGGCCACATTTCAATGCTGCACAGCTGCCCGTGGCTGTAGGGCCACAGAGTGCAGACCTCGAGCAGTCCCATCCTCGCGGCCATGTCTGCTGGGCGGTGCTGGCCTGGCCCGTCAGCTTCAGGAGGCAGAGACACAGCTGAGGCCACCCCAGGCAGGTGGACAACCTTAGGAGGGTCAGCAACTAACCTCACAGATGCACTGGCAGCTTAGCGTGAGTCCGCTGGCCACCTCCCTCCCGCTGCCGAGCAGACTGCTGCCCCTCAGCTGTCCCAGGTGGAAATTCCAGAGCCACCACCAGCACATAGTTCAGCGGTTCTCAACCTGTGGGTCTCGACCCCTTTGGCAGTCGAACGACCCTTTCACAGGGGTCGCCTAAGACCATCCTGCGTATAGATATTTACATGACGATTCATAACAGTAGCAACATTACAGTTATGAAGTAGCAACGAAAATAGTTTTATGGTTGGGTCACAACATGAGGAATTGTATTTAAAGGGCTAGAAGGTTGAGAACCACCGACATACTTGGACCCCAGTAGGCATCGGCTGGAGTGAATTAAACAGCCTCTGGTCTGGGGTGCTTGCCCAGTGGTGGCAAGAGGCCGTCTGCATAACTTGGGGCAGCGGGAACCACACGGGAGGTGCAGCAAGGATTCAGGAAAGGGAGCGGGAGCCCTGGGAAGTGACACCCTAAAATGCTGCAGTTGGAGGTGGGCCTCCTGGGGGTTTTGAAGGACCAGGATGGCAGGGTGTGGCCAGGCTGCAGGCACGGGAGGCTGTGGGTGCTGAGCCATCTGTGGGAGGCAGAAAAGGAGACCCGGCCTGGATCCAGGAGTTGGGCCACGATAGCAGAAGGATTCGGGGCAAAGAACCAGCCCGGACTTGAAGGTCTAAGAACCGCAAGGGAGCCACTGACCCGCTTGGATTTTTAGGGGGTGAGATCATAACTTGTGAGGACCATGGTGAAACCTTATTTTCCCTGTCACGGTGGAGAAGTCGCTCCCAAACAGACCCCGCCATGTGGCAGTCTGCGCCCTGCTTCCTGGCCCAGGGCAACTTCGGCCTGTCACTGAACGTGCACCTCACTTTCGAACCTGGCCCCCAGAGGTGGAGCGCTCCCCGTCCCTGAGGCCCAGCCATATGCTCCTCAGCTCACACGCGTGGTCTCTCCCAGTGAATCCTCTTCCACGCGATCACCCTGCACGTTGTGGGAGACAGGTGGCATGGCAATTGAATCCAGGAAATGCTGGTCGACCACGAGTCGGCCTGGGATGTTCAGTCCAAAGTGACAGCCATGGCCCTGGCCCTCAGGAAGCTTGGCGTCAGCAGGAAAGTTAAAACACGACCCTCTTGTTTGTGACAGTGCAGTCGGGGCGGGAGATTCAGAATGAGAGGGCCCGGCAGGGAGGCGGGGCTGGGGCTTTCCCATCAAGGAGGGTTCGAGGTCACCTTGAGGACTGAGCAGGGTTTTGAAAGGTTGAGAGGCAGAGAGAGGTGTCTGTGGGGCCAAACAGCCACACGGCCCTAAGTGGCATAGGACCAGGCCCCTGACCTTTCACCACTTTGATTGGCATCTCCAGGCAGGAAGGTGCACAGGGGGTGCAGACAAGTGTCTAGGCCTGGTGGTCGATCAGTAGATGTTCTGAGTGCCTGCTGGTGCTTCCCCTCCCCCGTGCACGTCACGGGGAAGAAGGCAGAGTCTGCCCTCAGGATGTGCACAGGCCTACGCTGCAGTGTGTCTGAGTTCCCTCCATGGCTTGCTGGCCTGCTGCAGGCTTAGGGACTTGCACTGTGTCTTTGCATTGGCTGAAGCCAAAGGTATCACTTGTAAAAAAAAGTGGAAACCGGTAGATACACACGCTCCCCAAATACATGCCTAAGCCCTGCAGTCACGTCTCTCATACCACGTAACCTGGGTATTTCCACTAACCTCCAGGCAGGAGCCGTCAGAGGAGCTGGGAGCACAGGAGGGGGCAGGGTTAGTGCAGAGCCCTGCTTCCCGGGGTTGGGACTTGGGTGAAAGGGGAAGTGTAGGTGCCAAATAGGGGTTATGAGGGTTCACTGGCTCCTCTACCACCCACAGGCTTTGGACGATGCCAACAAGGGCATCATCGATGAGCTGAAGAAAACGAACTACAGGGATATATTCAAAGAAAAGAAAGAGAAAGGTGAGTTCCTGGAGCCCCGAGGCAGCGGCTTCAGAATTCCACCCCCTGCGTTCTCTCCTGTCAGCCCCAGTGCACGCTCAGTAGCTGGTCCTGGGCTGAGCACTGTCTACGGCAGGGGTCCTCAAACTTTTTAAACAGGGGGCCAGTTCACTGTCCCTCAGACCGTTGGAGGGCTGGACTATAGCTTAAAAAAAAACTATGAACAAATTCCTATGCACACTGCACATATCTTATTTTGAAGTAAAAAAACAAAACGGGAACAAATACAATATTTGTATTTGCATGTGGCCCGCGGGCCGTAGTTTGAGGACCCCTGGTCTACGGGCATTCTGACGTCAGTGCCACCAGCACCCCAGCCTTTTGCTGGGGCAGGAGAGGGAGGCGATTCAGCCCACTGTGGACGGGGGTCTGAGCCCGCTGTCTGCCCAGAGAGCCCACTTCTGTGTTTCTTTAATTAATTCATCAAGTATCTGCTGAGCACTGGTCACACGCCAGTTAGGTGTGAGATTGGGGAGACAGGGGCTCAGCCCCGGCCCTGGAGGAGCCGGGGGCCCAGTGGGAAAGCCGACTAGAGTTGTCCCTGAATGGGCTCCTGCTGGCCAGTGATGATCTGGAGGAACGGCTGTGCCCTGGGCACAGGCCCAGCGCTCTGACTTCCCTGGGGAGACAGGGACGTCTCCAAGGGGGAAGAATGGTCTGTTCCAGGCTCCAAACCAGCGGTTCTCAACCTGTGGGTCGCGACCCCTTTGGCGGTCGAACGACCCTTTCACAGGGGTCGCCTAAGACCATCCTGCATATCAGATATTTACATGACGATTCATAACAGTAGCAACATTACAGTTATGAAGTAGCAACGAAAATAATTTTATGGTTGGGTCACAACGTGAGGAACTGTATGTAAAGGGCCAGAAGGTTGAGAACCGCTGCTCCAAACGATGCCCGAGGCTTTTCCACGTGCGTGGTGGGAGAGGGAGGGCATTTCTGGCGGGAACAGCAGGAGCAAAGACAGAGGCAGAACGACAGCTACGTACACTTTTGAGGCTCTTCCTGTGTGCCAGGCACTGGGTGACGCCTCGCATTCAGTCCTCACCACCCTAGGAGGTAGGTAACTGTTTGGGGGGCAACGGAGGTGGGATGAAGTGGAGTGACCCGCCTGGGTCACACACAGTCTGACTCAGAGCCACACGGTCCCCTGCTTCCAGGAGCTGCTCTTTGGGACCAACATGGGGAGGGAAGGGGATGGAGGGGAGACGGGGGAGAAGGGGGCACAGAGCATAGGTCAGAGGTTAGGCTGAGGTGCAGAGACTCAGACAGACCCGCTTTCTCCCATTCTTTCTCCCAAGGCCTCGGGGAGTGAAGAGGCCTTTACTGGCTCTAAGAGGCTCTGGGATGGAGGTGAGGGAAGAGGAGGTGGCTGGGACTCCAGGCCCCCAGGCCCACCTGAGTCATTAGGGATGGACCCCAGAGGGGATGGGGGCCAGAAATTCATCTCCATTCAGTGCTTCCGACGTGACTCACTGGTCCTGCAGGAACACTATACAATAAGCATTACTATTTGCTTGATTTGGTGGGTGACACGGGGGCAGCGGGGTTGCGGTTCACAGTGGTTTTCTGTCAGGGGAAGCCTGGCTCTAGAACCTAGGCTTTTACCAGGGTTCTGGTGCCAGGACAGCCTGCCTGCCCCTCTGTGGTGCCCTAGCCTTATCGCAGTGGCTCTGTGTAGCCAAGAAGACAGAGCCGCCTCCAGGCACCAAGGCGAAGCCCTCTCTGACCCAGGCGTGGTCATGGGAATCTGGGTGTGGAGTTTCGGGCACCTGAGCAGCCCTTTATCATTCAGCATCTGCCATGTGGTGGCTGGATCCCCTCAGAGAGAGGCTCTGCCTGCCTACATGACCTTGGAGCTGCTCTCTGAGGCCACAGGAGCCACAGGTGGGAAGGGACACAACTGGGAAGGGGCAGGTGCTCCACGCAGCCTCCCTCACGCTGCCCTTGCCAACCGTGGCAGGCCATGTGCTGGGGAAGGGGTCCTCGGGAACTCAAGGGGAAGGCCCTGAGGCCAGTGGCCGCAGCCGGGCAGGGCACTTCCCTCCCCAAACAGCAGGTGGCAGCATTGCCTATGTCTTCACCCCCAAATGGCAGCCTTTTCCCAGCTGTGACCAGAGAGCCACTAGGCACCTATGAGGGGCTCCTAGGAAGAGAATGTGGGGGCCACTCAGGACGAAACTGGTGACTTTTCTCTGTAGCTGGTTAAAAACGGAGCTAGGATCCCTCTGGTTGGTTGTAAGCTAGCTCTCCAGCTGAACTTGCTGCCAACAGTCTGCGCCTATTTTTACAGGGAGCCTCCCGACAAATGATGAAATATGCTTCCCGGGGACAGGGAAATGCGGAATGGGAGTGCTGGAGAAAAGACCCCTTCCGCCCTTTCCCAGCGCCTCCGCTGTTTCTTGTAGGGAAAGAATGTGCTGTGGGGGCAGACTGTCCCGAGTTCACAGTCAGACCCTCCGTTCATCTGCAGTGTGACCGTGGTGTGTGATTCCTCCTTATCGATCCCAGGTCCCTGACTGCAAACTCGAATCAATGACACATTATGCACCGTCATGACACGATGCACTTACAGGTGAACGGTATACTCTGTGCGGCTCACACCCTGCCTGGAACAGAGCTGGTCCTCAGCAGTGGACGAGTTCCTTTCTCTCCCTTTGGAAAGGACTGCTTCTCTTAAAAGCACAGGCCACCACAGGCTGGGCTTCACCCAGGCCCCGCAGGATACACACTGACCTTTCTCTCTTCCTTTCCAGAAGAGGCTGCTGCCCTGGAGAAAGCCAAAGTAGCGGCAAAGGGGAAGGAAAGAGTGAGAAGAGTGAGAGACGAACACGAGAAGATGATGAAGCACTGGGGAAGAGAGCAGGGTGACGCGGAGAAGGGCGCAGACGATGAGCTGTCTAACGGAGAAAGTCCAACCCGCACCGCGAGCGGACAGGAGGAAGATAGGACGACAGGAGTAGAAAAAAACATCTCCTTGAGAAGAGAACTGGGAGCCATGGGGAAAAATTCGAGAGATGTTATGAAGAGATGGTCCGGAGAATCGGGAGGAGCAGGCAAGGAATTGAGTAAGGGTGAGTCGAGAGAAATTTACAGGAGGCCTTCCGATCTGGACCAGAAACCCTCAGAAGAATTAATAGACGACGACAAAGAGGAGAGCCTTTCAGAAGCCAAAAGGAGAGAGTCGGAAGACCTGGAGGAAATAGAACTGGGAGAAACGGAAACAGAAAGTGCTGAGAAAATGGAAAAAGATGAAAAGGAAGATGAATGAAGAAGCCCCTGTTAGTAGGCATTAGGATCAGGAGGCTGGGATTCACAGGGACATGGGGACCTTATTAAACTAGACTTTGGAGTTGAGATTTGTAAAGAGGTCCCCTCTGCCTTTTTCTGAGACTGTTGTCCCTTTAAATAGATACCTTTCGCTCTTACAAACCCGGAGTCTTTCATTGCCTCCATACCCCCACCCGTTCTCAGAACAGACTTAGAGAATGAATGACCGGACGTGGGGTGCTACTTCCCAAGCAGAACTCTGACCTTACCTTGACTGAGTGAGAAACACAGAGGCCCCCAAACAAGGCCTGACCCGGAGTGTGATCAAGGTGTGAAGTGTGGTCCTCTCCCCCAGACCCTGTCCAAAGACCATATGGGAGAAAGAGAAAGGTGCGAAGAAGAGAGTGTCAGCGGGGTGAAGAAACAGGTGAGCTCTGTGAATCAGGACAGCTTAAAGGGGGGAGGAAGGAGAAAGGCCTGGGAGTAGAGGCGTCTGCCCAGCGGCTGTCCATTGGCTCATTTTGCTGAGCACCTACTTTGTACAGCACACAGTGGGAGGCTCTCTGGAAGAAATAATGATGGGACAGCCTCAACCATCACTCAGTGAGGGAGACCTCCTTGTAAACCCCTAAGCCCTGAAAGCAGAATGAAATGAATGCTGGTACTGATAGGGGCACTGTGCTCTAGGAGCCTAGAGGAAGAAAAACAGTTCCTACCCAAGAACAGGAAGTAACCTGGGCGTAGGAGCAAGGGCTGGTCCCCCCTGTGCTACCTCCGCTGGCAGTCAAGTAAGTCAGGCTCCCAAAAAAGGCCTGAGCCAGGGTGTGATCAAGGTGTGAAGCCTGGTCCTCTCCCCCAGGCCCTGTCCAAAGACCTTGGGGGGGGAGAGGGGAGAGAAAGGTGCTAAGAAGTACCTTTGCTTCCTCCTCTGTGGAATGGGTACCTGCCTCAGGGGTTGCTGTGGGATTATATGAGTGCGTCCCACAGCACCTGGTACACAGGAAGCTCTCCAAAATCTACCCAAGCTTTCAGTCTCTTCACAGAGGAAGTGGGGGCTGAGCAGCTGCCTCAGAGGATGAGTTTCACAACAGTTACCCATCTGTCCCTTTGGCTACTGCCATCCTGGTCCTGTCTCCAACAATTCCCCACAGGGTTGAGTGAATTTAGACTGGGACAGGGCCTGGCCTAGGGTGAAGCAAGGCAGGCATTTCAGCTGCAACATTTCACGGGGTGCCAAAAACTCAGTAAGCAAGATAAACAGTATTTTAATGCAATATTGTAAAAAAATAATGCAACAACCCATGATGAGTAAAATATCAACCTTTTCTATAAAGACAGGATCCCACCTGGCACTTGCAAGACCCTGCTTCCCTCCCCTCGTCCTTATCTTGGCGCCGGACTGGGGAAGGGTGACTGCTTTCCTCTTTAAAGACCTCATTATTAACACCTACCAGAAAAAAGAGGCCATAAAAAAATGAATGAATGAATGAATGAATGAATGAAAAAAAGGCTGGACAAACCTCTGCCCAACACTTCTTTTTTTAAAAAATATATATTTCTTTATTGATTTCAGAGAGGAAGGTAGAAGGAGAGATAGAAACATCAATGATGAGAGAGAATCATTCATCGGCTGCCTCCCGCACACCCCACACTGGGGATCGAGCCCACCACCCAGGCACGTTCCCTTGGCCGGAATGGAACCTGGGACCCTTCAGTCCACAGGCTGATGCTCCATCCACTGAGCCAAGCCCGCTAGGGGAGCCCAACACTTCTTGCTGCTGCTCAGTCTGCGGGTCACAGTCGCGCCGCAGGTGTGCGCTCCCCTAGGCGGCCCCACGTGGGGGCGCTTCCTCCGTCCCCCCACCCCCCACCCACGGGCAGCTCAGTTTCGAGTTTCGATTTGCTGCGCCTGCGCAGACTCGAAGGCGCGTCCCGGCCCCTTCGCGGTCCGCCCGAGAGCGCTCCGCCCCCCGGCTATGTAAGGCGGCCCGGCGCGGGGTCGCGCGCTCGCTAGGCTCCGTGTCCCTCCGCGCAGGCGGGCGGCCCCGGAGAGCGAGTGCCTGCGGAGACGGCGACGGCGGCGTCCCCTCCCCATCATGGTGAGCAGGCGCGGGGAAGCCGGGAGGCGGGAGGCGGGCGCGGGGTCGCGCCTTAACGGAAAACGGGAGCCGTGGGGGACTTTGGGAGGAAGTGCCATATGCAAACAAGGTCCTGAGGTTCCCGACTTGAGTTGAGGCTTTCAGGGCGGTCCGGTGCAACCCTGAGGTAGGGGAGAGGCGAGCAGAGTGGACGGGGCTGCGGGCGGGGTGGCGGCCGCTGCAAGAGGGACGGACTCGGGAGCTGCGGACCAGATGGCGCGTGGCTCCCGCGCGGGCGGGCGTCCCTCGCCTCCCCCTGCCCGGGGCCTGGTCCCGGAACCCAGTGGCCCGCTCCCTTCTCTGGGTGCCGACGGAGGTGGGGCTGGTGTGGAGAAGTCAGCGCATAGTAAGCGCTGTTGTCACCTGTGGCTTTGGTGGCAGGAAACAGAGGCTCGGAGAGGTGCTGGGACACAGCGGAGCGGGGGTGGAGCTGGGCCCGAACGCAGGTGCCCGAGCTGCCCAGCCCGGGTGCGGGCACAGAGACCAGGACTGTGAGGGGGCCGAGCGCAGGGGAGGCGGTGGCACGCGTGGTGAATGAGGCCCTTTGTCCAGCGCTCTCCTGCCCTGCCCCCCACCCGCCCTTCTGTGGGACCATTGTCCCCCCATCCCAGACAAGAGAGTATTATCTGTTGCTGCCATTGTTGGGGGAAGGGAGGCAGTCTTTGGGTAACCCTTCTCCACCCACTCTCAGCACACTCAGAGCCAGGGCAGCTGTGGCTGTGGGGTCCCTAGCAGCTCACCCTCAGGCCCTCCCTGCAGGCACTCCCAGCACATTTTTCTTTTTTAATATATTTTTGATTTCAGAGAGGAAGGGAGAGTGGGAGAGAGAGAAACATCAATGATGAGAGAGAATCATTGATCGGCTGCTTCCTGCACACTGCCATAGGGACCGAGCCCGCAACCCAGGCATGTGCCCTTGACTGGAATCGAACTCGGAACCTCTCAGTCTGCAGGCCGGCGCTCTGTCCACTGAGCCAAACCAGCCAGGGCGCACATTTTTCTTTAGAGGCGACAGCAGTGGGTTGCTCTGATAGAGGAAAGTAAGAGTTTGGGAAAGCTCAGACAAGCCTGCCCTTCCTCCTCCACAACCAGCAGCAGTCGGTCCAGGAGAGAAGAGAAAGGCACCCACAGCACCCAGGGTACCAGTAAATCCAGCTGAGAGCTCCAGGCAGGGAGGGGCTCCCAGTGAGGAGGAGGCCAGAGACCAGGGAACAAGGAGCTACGAGGGACCTGGCTGACCTCTGCTCTTCCCTCCTCACACAGAACAGAGGCTTCTCTCGAAAGAGCCATACATTCCTGCCCAAGATCTTCTTCCGCAAGATGTCATCCTCAGGGGCCAAGGACAAGCCTGAGCTGCAGTTTCCCTTCCTGCAGGACGAGGAGACGGTGGGCACGCTGCAAGAGTGCAAGACGCTCTTCATCCTGCGTGGCCTGCCAGGGAGTGGCAAGTCCACTCTGGCCCGGGTCATCACGGACAGGTACCGTGACAGCACCAAGACGGTGTCTGCCGACACTTACAAGATCACCCCCGCTCGAGGAGGCTTCTCCGAGGAGTACAAGCGGCTGGACAAGGACCTGGCTGACTGCTGCCGCCGGGACATCCGGGTCCTTGTGCTGGACGACACCAACCATGAGCGGGAGCGGCTGGAGCAGCTCTTTGAAATGGCCGACCAGTACCAGTACCAGGTGCTACTGGTAGAGCCCAAGACGGCGTGGAGGCTGGACTGTGCCCAGCTCAAGGAGAAGAGCCAGTGGGGGCTGTCGGTTGATGAGCTGAAGAAGCTGAAGCCCGGGCTGGAGAAGGACTTCCTGCCACTCTTCTTCGGCTGGTTCCTGACCAAGAAGAGTTCTGAGACCCTCCGAAAAGCTGGCCAGGCCTTCCTGGATGAGCTGGGCAACAACAAGGCCTTCAAGAAGGAGCGTCAGCACTGTAGGTGGTGGGGTGGGCAGGGTGGGGGCAGTTAGCCTCATTCGTCAGTCCCCTGGCTGTGCACAGGTGCTGCATGCACCGGACCATGGTGTCCTCGAAGCGCTGGGGGCCAGTGGGGAAGCGGGTGGAGGGTCACTTAGTACCAGGCAGGGCTAGCCTTGGGTAGTGGGAGTAGAGCGGGAGATGGAGAGGTGCTTCCCTTCCATTTCACCCTTTCTTCTCCCCAGTTCCCCTCTCCCAGGGGAATGTAGACCCTGTCTTAGAGGTGTGAAAAACAAATTACTGTCCTAACAGAAAATATGACCTTAGGAGAAGAATCTGGCCCAATGTTTTCAAACTCATTTTTAGCAGCAGAACCATTTTTCTGAAATGTTCCACAAAATCCTATGCTGCAAAAACATAACTAGGACGATGGTGACTTCACTGGGGATGATGGTTCTTGGGCCTTGGGCTACAAAGTGCACCTTTTGTGGCATCCCACCTAGTCCAAATGCCCTTGTTTTGCAGATGGAAAGCAGGCCCTGAAGGGATGTGGGGTTTGCCCAAAGCCATAGTGAGAGCTGGGACTTTGTCCACTCCAGCAGGGGCCTCCCCAGGGTTCTCTACTGGTAAGGGCCGTTTGCTCCAGTGATGGAGTAGGTTTGTATAAGGGCCCTGGTGACTTTTATTCTCCTGCAGTGGCCTATTGGGAATATGTCACCCATTAATCTGTTCATTTAACCCATTTCTAGTTCCCCCAAATTTTAGGTTATGTTCATACTTGAAATGTCATCCCCCCCCACCCCCTCCCAGAATACTTGTGTTGCTGAGAGGCAGTGATTAGTGCCTGTTTATGTTCTCGGAGAACTCTTTGCCCAGGGAATGCAGTGACACTCCTGGGGAACCAGGGAATGCAGTGACACTGGCCGGGTGTGAGGCCTGCACCTGTGAATAGCTTGAGAGAAAAGCACCCCAGGGGCAGGGCTCCTGGTTAGAGCTGGTGGCTCTGCCCTAGAGTCACTGCCTCTTGAAGCTGCTTTTTGCCATTTTAAACTGGAATCCTTT